ATATAAGAAATAAATTCGAAACCACTGATGATGGGTATTTGGCAATACTCGAAACAACTGTATGGTCAGCCAAAAATTTAATTAATTAAAATAATATAAAAATAATTTTTTTTGTTGTAGTTCATTACTTTTCGAGACCTCTCTTTTTATTGTGAATATTTTAATATAAAGTAAGATTTTAAATTACAGATACATGCAATATTTGTATTTAGTTCTTTAATAATTTTGTTGAGCACCATTTATTAATTTTATATGCGAATACCGCCATCTATTAGTCAATAATAAAACGAAAACATTATATTATGCTTTATAAGAAAAGGGCTAAATTTCAAATCCATTCTTTGTTTACAAATCAAAGTTGAGACGTCAATACATTGTTTAGCAATGATCAAATTATTTGTAAAAAGGACATTCAATAGTATAAAGAACTCATGCCGACATTAAATAGGTGAATTCACTGCTTCAAAACTATTAGCTTAAAAATAGTTAGTTTGTTTAAAAATGGTGGTACAAGCCAATAGATCATTCAAGTAAATGTCCATCACCGGAAATTGTAAGAATACTAGAAATCGTTGTTAAAATGCAGAATAAATTTTTGAAATATCGAAAATTACCTAAGAGATATATAATCGAAACTGCATATGCATATGCAGTCGAATCATTCCTCGCATACATCGATTTTGTTGATGTACCTCTACTACTTAATCGTAATTTTTTGATTTGCATCTTTATAAGGGAATGAGATTTGAAATCATTTTCTTAAAATATACAAGAAAAAATGGTTTGCCACGAAAGTATCTTCTTAGTATCCGTTTCCACAAGTGAGGCAAAAGGCCGCAGCTACGGAAGTATATTTTTAGTGTCCGTTTCTCATGTTGGGCATAGGGTCGCAGCTACGGAAGTATACTATACAGAATTCAATCTTAAGATATCCTTCCAACTACATAATCATATTATTATTTATGAGCAGACATTGCTTAATAACGAAATAACTACTCATAATGATATATTTCACAGAAATATTTTTAGACAATGATTTTATTTTATAGTGACAGAATAAAATTGTCCCTAGTATATGTTTTCACAACATTAAAACTTATGTCAGCATATTGTATGTCATTGAATGAGATGTCGATGTATTTATTGCTTACCCGAAAAAGGATACTAGGCCATATTAGAATAAACGATATTCTTTCAAATGAGACGTTCATGTTCAACCCTTAAAACGGCACTGGATGACAAGGACTTTCAGCTCAACTGAAGAGCCAATAAACTAATCTGAAGTAATAAGAACAACAACTCTTTATGATATAAATTAGAATGTATTTTACATTATACACATAATATAAATATAAATAAATTACAAAGTAAATTACAATAACTCAAAAAAGTTCCGTACAGTGCACATATAAACCACATATATAATATGGTCCGTTTAAAACCACTCTAGCAGTTCACTAACCAATATATTCACTATCCAATACTGATTCCATACTTTATAATAATGCATACCGACATTTTGGAAGCTCCATACAACAACCATTATCGTAGATGGCCAGCAATTACCGACGTTCATGTACTTAAAGGACGCTCTTCTTCAAATCTCTCTCCGATATCACATATGAAAAAAAAAATTATTAATAAAACATTTTTTATGAAAACGATCAAGTGATTACTTGTCCAAAATAGGTCGCTGTCAAACAGCTAGAGTGCCTCAAAAACTGTGGTATTACAAAAATAATCTGAATAAGGGATGTTTTTCATTTCCATTCCTAAAAATTAACATACCTCAGGCTTTGGATGAAGTTTGTCATTTCGATCTACTCTGTAAAATACATATAATGTTTCTATTAAAGAAGGTTTTAAATAGTTCACATATAAAAAGTGAACAATCGAGTAGTAAAAACGATGTTCTTCATAAGCCATTACAATTTTTTAAAATCTAATCTTAAGGGTCGCTACTTAATCGTAAAACGTGCTGAAGAAGGTACAAGAAAGAAATGTATCCAAGTGACATTTTTTGGACACAATACTGTATATATTACAGAAACTTATTATGTCAGAAACTGTTCTTGGTACTTTAGCACAAAAGAGTGCAGTAGTTACTGAAGGAACGGAACCTAACCTAGCATCTAGCAAATTACAATTTCGTCTTGTTAACATCTCAAAATAGCTCAGTTACTGGAAAATGCGAAAATGGAAAATTAAACCAAATCTACTCATATTACTTTATCAATGAGAAAAAACTTTTGTACTTAAGTTTTTTAAACATTGTTTTGAAACTTCTCTCGAAGAATACCAGCTCCTTTCGTATGCATCTTTGGACGTGAGAGAATTGTGTATGCATGATACGTAATGCAAATATGGATTCATTTTATGGGTTCGAAGGGCAGAATTTGAAACTTTCAATTCAAAATAAATTAGTAATATTAAATAGATGGACTTATAGGCATCGAGTTGAACTCTGAGAAACAATTACAAACTCAAATAAGATATAAACCACACCATTTATTATCATTGTTATTCGAATTATATCGAACGTTTTCTGGTGTGTTATTATGTGTGTTATCAACTAAATCGATAACTATAAGTTATCGATAACTATAGCTATAAGTTATCGATTTAAGAAAGAGCACAAAACTATAAAAAACATTTAGGAAACTAACTTAACGATCCATTTGCAAAATAGACGAACAATGGTCACATAGCAACTTCATTCTTGCTACTAAATGGTTACTTTCTTTAGTTTTGCTAAATAAAAAATATTAATTATTACAGATTTATGTTAAGAGATTTCAGTATAAAAATGGATTTATATTAAATTGACTTTTAAAGGTCGTTTTAACGAAAACAACTCATTTCTTAATATTGTTTACAATTAAGAGTTTTTTATTGAACAGTAGTGAAATTACAACAACAAAAGTTTTTTTTATTGTTAATTAATTGAATTGTGGGCTGACCAAACAACTATTTTGAGTATTGCCAAATACTCAATATCAGTGGTCTTGGAATTATTAATTATATTTAATTATATACATATATATTTAATCGTTTAAACCCTAGAAGGAGTATAGGCACGCAAACTTATATTTAATTATTCATTAATAATTTTTTTATACTGCAAGTACCAAGGGTTGAACTCGTACCCTGCCAAATTGGAAACTCAGAGTCAGTGTTCAAAATTGAATTTAAAGAAACAAAACATTAGGTACAATGTCCAATATTTCCTGTCAAGTTTTGAATTTCAAAAATGTGTTTGTGGCACCCTCATTTATCTGCAATGCAACAATTACATATTTGAATGCGACTTTATAAGAAAAGTTTGGATTATAAAGATGATTGGAAGTGGCTATAAAAAATAGTGTGAACTTGTCTTGCGATTAGTGACTATCTTAAAATTGGCCAAGAAGTACAGATTTTTGGAATGTCAAAAGAATATGGATAATAGATTACCTTCAAACTAGTCAAATAAAAATGTTAGACTATTATTAGATTCTTTTGAGCTTACAAGACATACTTCCCTCTATCAATGTTACTAGGAACCACTCTATTATTATTGGTTATTAAACACAACTAATGTACTTACCATTTCCAAAATTATTGTTCACATAAAAAGTTGAGAAAGGATCCAATAAAGTTGAAGTTCTTAAAAATCATCACATTGAGATACGCTATAATATGGGAAGACAAAAGAAAGCTTAATTGGCTTCTTATCATATACTCAATACATATATGGTATAGCAATTGTTTTGAGGCTCATATGCGTGGAAAATTGTGTATTCTATCCCGCATGTGATATAATGAAACCTCAACAGAACAAAAAAGTAGAAGAAGTAAATATTCGCAGAATCGATGGATACAAGGTACAGAAAATTATGCTTAAATTTTTCAAGGTCAGAAACCAAAGATATACAATTCGAAATTATGGTAAGAGATATGGAAGTGCTTAGAAAAAAAGAAACTGTGATAACACATAATTCTACCATATAAAACATACATCTATTTAAAGGTCTTAATTTCTAAATATTTTAGGTCTAATATATTAAAGTCTAAATATCAATGATTTACCATTGCTAAATTTTGTTTTTAATATGGAATTTAGATTAATTTTTATAAAAAATATTTATTTATATCAGGCTTAAGTTGTAACATAAGATAATATTGTTAAATAAATGTCATTATTTCACAAGGTTGACGCAAAAAAAGAACTTACGTCTTTCTTTGAAGTACTAAGTACAAACATCATACTAGCATTAAAATATGTAATACTGTGTGGTTAAAATAAATACATCCAACTAAAATTCTTACTGGATAATATTATAGTTATTCTTTTGAGGAGGAAAGAATGTTTCGCCAAACCCCCATAGTGATTTGCATAGAGCTTAGCAGTATTCCGAATTTCAATGACTGAATGATTTACAAATTAAAAGGACGCGTAATAAGGAATGTATTTCAGTATTAGTTTTTCATTTCGATCATTTATCTTTACTAGAAATAGTAACAGATCTTGTTTTAACAGCTAGTTCTGAAATCTAGCGTAAAACTTCAATCATCCTTTAAGAAGTATTACATAATCTACTACTTCCTAAATTAAATTTATTCTTTTAACATTTTTATATATTTCCTCCTCACCACAAAAAGAAATGTCCAAGAATGACACAAGAACATATTGCTAACGCCACTAAGGAGTAAATTTCTTAACATTTGTATACGATTTGAGGGGTAAAGGTGTTGAAGGGTGTTAATCATGATTTCGCATTTATAAGGATCTAGAATTTTGTTTATAATTAGTTTATTTATTGAGTTCGTTACGTTTAAATGCGTTTCTTAATTAATACATATTTTAAAACGATTGTTTACAGAAGTGAAAAATGTGAATACAAATGTTCTGCTTTGCTTGACCCGTCAATGTACAACTTCCGCCTATAATAATTAATTTGTTAAAATTCAAAGCCAGCACAAACCTCTACTGCTTACTCCACTACAATTGAACCGTAAACATGAGCATCGAGTTCCGTTGGAACACCAATTATACAGTATTTGCATATAACAATGCACTAATGGGGATTAAACTGCTGGGAGGCACGCGATTGGGACTCATGCAAATACGTTTCCCTGCCGGTTTGTTGCTTACCGTAACCGTTGATTTGCCAATAAAGTACATTACGCCTAGCAGCAATTTCTCATATCCGGTGTGTTGCGCAATTTAAAAAAGGCAATGGTTTGGCAGGAGTGAGTACGGTAGATGATTGCACGGAAGTATGGTCCTATTTCTTTATGAGTTTCGGAAGGCTTAGTTATTTTTGTTAATTTTTAGGAATTTTCGGCACAACTGTTGCATTTCAATTAAATTTTCGTGTTATATGCTATGTAAAAATATTTGACCCTCTTTTATTATGGTTGGATTTCGTGCAAATTAATGGACCATTTTTCGTCCTCTTTCAGAAATAAAATACACTAACTTGTTTGAAGCTACAAGTTTAATAAGCATTTTTAATATTTTATACTTATTGTATAAGTGAAATGTCTTGTATTTTAGAAACATTCCACCAAGTGAACTCTATAGTCGTTTTACGTAACAGCATATCGGTAAAAGATCACAATGCCTATATATGTTCTGCCAAAATAAATTGCATATTATGTTCCTTTGTAACCGACAATTATTTATTAGGAACCTTTATTTGATCGGTATCATTAACATCATTATTACAGTTCTCATGTGGCAACATTTTAAATTTTTCATTTTTTAAAATTATGTATTAATAAGGATTAACTCAAAAAAAATGTCGTATGAAGATTATTTAGGAGATTTAACGACATAAATGACGATCCAGAATTGCTGAAAGGGTCATTACTAATGACGTCGATACCAAAGCTAAACCATTCCAATTAATGCGATTAGATAAGTCAAGATCACACTACTGAAAAAACCCAGGCTATATTAAAAACCGCAAATATGAAGTCATTCCTGGATTGAAAATAGCGCTAACATAATGTATTATATGTATGAAACAGACAAAAAATAGATATGGAGGAACAAATAAATATTTTTCAAAAAAAAAAATCGCTTTATTTTTTAAAACACTTTCACTTAACTATTTTATATTCCAAAAAAAATGTTGTTTATTGTTGAACAGAATTCAAAGCATTATTTCTATGAAAATGTGTCGCCTTGTTATAGAAACTTCATACTAAATAGACATATATAGACATATAAATAAACTCCAGAAACTTCAGCTCTCATTTGGAGCGAGGCCTTACGATCATAAGATATACTGTACAGAAGACATTCAAACATTCAAAACGTTAACATTGGAGTATGCCGGATACGTTCTAGAAATTGTTTTAGGAGTGCATAGGATTTAATACTTAGTATTGCTGATTAGTAATCTAGATAAGAGTCGTACAACAACTATTTCACTTCCTATAGAAAACTAATTTAACAAATTTTTATTTATAAAGACAATGTGTCGGCTCATACCATAGTAGTCGCTATATCTACAATTAATAAATTGCATTATATATTCAATAACTCTATGTTCCAGTAAGATATATTGTTTCTAAAGTTGAAAGTTTATTTGGGAGAATAAGAAAATGCAATGTATAGAAGAGTTAAAGAAATTATGGTACTTGAGAAAGTGGATCGGGTGAAGAGGCCATTATGCAAAAAAATAAAATGATAATTAAAAAATATTTCTTTCTACACTGATTGGAAAAAATTTTAAAAATTCATCAAACTATTTAAAACTCAGTAAAGTAAAGCTCCATGGTAGCTCTTAAATATATAAAAAAGATATTATAACTATTCCTATGAAGTTGTTACGATACTATATAATTGTTCCGCTAAGATCCATTTTGCTTTTACCGAACAAAAACTTTTTGGATAATTCGGAGAATTTATGAAAATTAATAAATCTAATAATATTTCTTGATTTAAAATCAAGAAAGTCATATGGAGGTACTGGTCTTATTTTCCGGCAATAGTAAAGCACTAACATATAAAGTAAATGAAAGTTATACTTTTAATTTCGCATAACCTGCAAGTGTTATTATCCTTAAAATATGGTATTTTACAAGAACATTTATAACAAAGAAACCACTGATTATTAATAGTTCTGTTCTATTTAGATTAAACAGTCTCTCAACATTCTTGGTCTATGTTATTGTGCCGTTAGTTCTCAAGTATATATATATTATGTAAGTTCGTCATAACCCAATATTCTGATGAGTATTCCTTTAATAGAAGTAACCAGCACAGTAGTTTCGTTCCAATGTAGAAAGAATATTTAACTACCTGGCTATCTGAATATATAATAATACTGTGAAAATCGTAATACTTTTTTATCTTTAACTTTAAAGTCGAATATCAGAAATATATTTTTTAATGTATATAATTATCTTCAATCAGATGCATTTAATCCGCAGCTAAAGTTTTATGTCTAAGTTGTTATCGCCAACTTATCGATACTCTTAAATAAATATTTTCGATTAGATATTGGATATTGTATTTAAATTTTATTAATAAATATATACAAATATAAATGTGTATTATTAAAATATTTAATATAAGAAAATATTAACTACTTTGTTTTAGATGCCAACGCGGCACAAGATACCGGCGAACAAGGCAACGATTGGAATCGTACACGGAATCAGTCCAACATCAACGAACGTGCTGGTTCCGGAAATATCGCAGCTATCGATATACCAAATGCTGGAAAAATAAAATTCGATCCGCCCAAAGTGCCAGTGATATTTGTTTTAGGAGGCCCAGGTAGTGGCAAAGTAACGCATTGCGACACTTTCATGCAGGAACGTCGTGGAGTGACTCATATAAATATGATGGACTTACTGCAGCAATATGCAATGGGAAACGGTAAAAGAATATCGAATGTTTCGATACAACTATTAATTTTCTAATAATAATCATTGATAAAAATACAGATATGCAAGATTTTTCGCAACTCTCCTCGAAAACAGTTACCGAAGTTTTAATGTTAGAAATGAAAATGGCTCCAGCTGCCAAAGCATACCTAATTTCAGGATATCCACGCTCGATGCGCGATGTAGTTGAATATTCCGAGAAGGTAAGAGTTTAGAACCCTACACAAATTTCTAATAGCACTATGTATCCATTTAGAAATGTGCAAGTATTTCTATATGTAAATAAATTATAGTTTCTAAAAATGATTGATCTACGCATACAACACAATATAATATGACAGAGCATTTGCGTAACTATATGTACATATATATACATATATACATGTATACATTATATGTATGTATTATAATTGGTATTTATTTATATACATATTTATATATAATAATACAATTTGTGCGGAAAGTATGATTGCGGGGTGCGTGGGCATATGTTTGGGTAACGCCTATAACATAGACACACATGTCTATGGCAAACTAGCATTTGTTTGACCAGCCTTAACCTGCCTTTGTTTACACAATAAATACGAAATAAATAGTAATCAACGTATTTGTACTAAAATTAACAAATAAATTTGTTGTTAATTAAAACGTTAAATAAAATAATAAACAAATAACGTAACAACCATTTATGCACAAATTGATGGCAACTAAACTATCCTGGAGGTTACATGCGAGGCGGTGCTATAAAAGAATTACAAGTCGATCGATGATAAAAGGCATTGAAGTATGGAAAAAAAATATTAAAAAAAATTTTTTGAATTTAATATGAAACATTATTTTCACTCCCTTACAAACAACTAGTTGAGCTAAGGCCAAATGTCGCATATGACAGCGAAACAAAGTACGAGCGCCGAAGTATTTTCATACAAAATGTAATAAAATTATTTTAATTTGAATATAATCAACTATTATATAAATATAGCACCTCACACTGGATTGTTATTTCATTAAAAATACAATCCATTAATGACATAAATATTACTACCTATGTAAACCCGAACCTATTTACTAGCAAAAATTTTCTTAAAATTAATCAGACGTGATATCTGAAAACTACTAAAAACAAAAAATTATTTTAATGATTTCTGATATCCTTACTTATTAAAGGCTTAAGGTTTTTAAGAATAATTTACAGATATATCTATTTACAAGTCCAGTTTATTGTGGCAGTCAATCAAATCACTTTACTCATTTAGAAGTCACAGGTTGCTGAACACAGTACAATTCCAAGAATAAATTCCAGATGTCTCTATTTACAAGTCCAGTTTATTGTGGCAGTCAATCAAATCACTTTACTCATTTAGAAGTCACAGGTTGCTGAACACAATACAATTCCAAAAATAAATTCCAGATGTCGCTATTTACAAGTCCAGTTTATTGTGGCAGTCAATCAAATCACTCTACTTATTTGGAACCCACAGGTCGCTTAACTAAGCCTGATTTCAAGAAATATTTGAAGATGTCTCCATTCACAAGTCCAGTCAATTAAGTCAGTTTACTCATTCAGAACTCATTCAGGTCATTTAACTGATTGTTTGTAATAGAAACGTTTCAATGATTCAACATTTTCATTTTAAAATCTAACTGCTGGATAGTTCTGTTAAGAAGCTATAAACATATTTACCCAAAAAGTTTGCTATGAGAAGCATATCAGTTACAGTCGGTCAACTGCAGAAAAGGTGTGCCATAGCAATCAATAGTTTTAGTTAATTGAACGATTAGCTAGTTTCAGTCCAAATAATCCAGATAGCAGCACCTTTTGGTTCCATATGAAATCTGCATTTGCTCTTAAAAGTATAGGATGTTCAAGAACAGCGTTAGGGGGCTAGAATTATTCAAATGCGCGTCTTAAATAATGATAATAATGATAATTTTATGATGGAAACAGTTTCGAAGGACGAATGTCAACTATAAATGTGATGAACAAATTAAGCATGGGCTATATATATGTTCAAACCGTTTTCTGGAGCAATAATATATGAATTTTAATATCAGACATTTTTTCTTAAACTCGTTAAGAACAGAATTCTGAATACTCAAAATAGATTATTGATTATTTACATAAAGTACACAGTTTTTTATTCTCCTTTCTTATTCTATATCCCAGGAACATCCATGTAATGGTATTGTTATAAGTTTTTATATTAACATTTTAAAATATTTTTTTTTGCGTGGACTGCGTTGTAGAAGTATTTATGCTTAGTTCAACTTTTACTGATTCAGTAAATATTAGTAAATAATAGACTTGGATTGTGATCATATATGTCAAACACAAATATATTTTACTGGTATATACCAGATCCATAGGAAAGTGGTTAACTTTCGAATGGATGGTTTGTAAAGTCAAACACTTAGGAAAATTAGGTAAATAGGAATACTGATAACACGTAATTTATCTATTTATATAATTTGTAATACAAAAGATTTATTGAAATGCAGATCATTTGTATGAACTCTAAAATAGTCGACATACTTCTTAACACATTATGTATGGTAAGTTTTGAAAAGATAAGAGATAATGGTAAAGCAAAGCATGAAGTAATGTATAAACGGTGGACACTTTGGAAACTACGAATATAATCAAAAATTTAATAGAATGAACAAATGAACAAAGGTCAGGACATTGAGAAAGTAGAACTGAGAGAATAATTCGAAGTCATTGAAGTGAACACAAATTATGTAGGCAGCCGTATAAGTATAGAATATTTCTCCATAATATTAATTCTAATTATCATAGGAAACATTATATATTAGCACATATATTCAAGCTAGTTTCTATTTTTTAAAAGTTGTCAAAGGTAAATTTTCAGTAAGTTTCCAAACATGAGAATACGTGGATGAAAAATGTTTTGGAAATGTCTCACCTACTAAATGTTAATGCTATAAATGTAATAACCTTAATCAGCTCTTAACAAGGAGAACTTTATTTTGGAAAAAAAGAATAGGTAGTACATTATTAACAACATCTGTATTAATAAGAGTATACCAAATCTAAAAGGAGCATATCTACCATAATCCAAGATTATTCTCCATAGAAACACCAAGAAACAACTTCAATTAAACGTCGCAGCTTAAAACTTTACGATTATAGTGTTGAATTTTTCTTTAAATATGTGACAAAGTTGTTATCATATGCTCTCTATCTCTCTCTCTATTATGTCTCTATATATTCTGTCTCACTTTAAGTATTATATTATTTCTTGTGTATATCTTCAAAATAGATTCAAGTAGTGAATGGCGTTATATTGATATCCTGGCGTCAATCAGTTTTACAAAAGCAAATTGATTACGGCGCCAAATTAGGTCATGTTGTACTCTCCTTAGCCAAAATGGAATTGGAAAATTTCTTTAAAAATGTGATGCCAGTAGCAGATTATTTTGATCAAAGTGACATGTTACTAGCGGTAAATGAACAGACAATATATTTTCAATAATATAACAGATTTTAAATGAATTAACTATTATAGGTTAATGGCGAACGAGCTCCAGCGGATGTATATAAGGATTTCCGTACTGCTGTACTTGACATACTTAGCACACTTGAAAATCAAGAGGCAATACTTAATGGAGTAACAGGTATGGGCAGAGGGATACATGATATACCCGGCAGTATAGTTAGCGTAGACACAGCACCTAGTCAACCGCAAAATATTGCAGAATTATTACATCCAAATGCGGATACAAGCACAGAAGAAATAGACCCGAAGTTAAATGTGGCAAATGCTGTGATTTCTCGGATTGCATCAAATGCAGCATTAGCTGTGGCCACAACAGTAAGTAATGCTGCTGATGTAATTACAAGGCAACCAACTCTAGCCAACGCTGCCACCAGCACGAATGAAGTTAACAGTATACCACCGATTATATGGGTCATTGGTGGACCAGGTAGTAATAAGGCAACACTTTGCATGAAAGCTGTAGGCTTAAACCCAGGTTGGGGTCATATAAGGTAAGATGATTCAATTTTTTTTCAATACATTATTTTATACTAACACTTTGGTTATATGTTTTCTAATAAAAAAAGTGTTGGTCGCCTGCTACGTACCATTACTGATTCTGCACCACGTGCAAACACAGAAAGCTATGCAGTGAAAGAAGCACTATCAGCTGGGGAAATGGCACCCGAAAAATCTGTCAGTAATATTTTGGATCTGAACATAAGACAAATGCAAGATCGAGCTGGTATTATTATTGACGGATATCCCAGAAATTTGCAACAGGTCAAGTTTTTTGAAACTAAGGTAAGAAGCGGTCGATTTTATAAAAAGATATATATAAAACTTAAAATTTCTAGTTTTTCTTAATGTTATGTATATAGAATACATATGTTATATGGTATATGTCTACTTATACCATTTAAATAAAATATAAAGAAAACTTGATCTTTTTGATGTAGAGTTGCTAATATCACATATTATCTTGATTGTATTCTTAACTTAAGTATTAAGATACATAAAACCAATGTTTTAAATAGAAACAGTTATCGACTTTAATGAATGTAGTTAATACAGCTTTCCTTTTAAATATCTGTAAAATGTTATTAGCAGTAATATATTAATATATTAGAATTAACGACTTTATAATAGATCCAGTGGCAAATCCGAAAATTTTCGGCATTAATGGTTTTTGCACTGTAACACAAGATACTTATTAGTAACTCTAAACTTCAAATACAAAGATGCACATAAATTATTTGTAAAATAGCTTGTCTACACACTGACCACAATATGGCACCGCGGAATGAGAGTACCGTTCGCACCAAATAAACTCCTTCTCCTTATTCCTAGAAAGCTTATCCCACCACTTTTAGGTTCGAAGACTTCCATCGGTATGATCTGAGTCCATGCCACGCTACTATCTAATGTGCATATCCTTATGCTTGGTCTTAATCCAATCTTGTCATTATTTTTCGTCTTGATCCAAACTTGTACTGTAACTGCTTGCTCCAGCTACCTCCTATCTAAATCTTCAAACCTTTCAAGCGTTAGAATCTTTTCAGCAAACATCACTCTTCAATCCCAGTTTGCTTTGTTTTCTTCGATGTTGTGTTTGAACTGCATCTACCCATATCTCACTTTCGTACAAGAGAATCGAGTTAATCATCAACAAAAGAAGCTGTCTTTTATTCTGTGAGGAGACGTTTATGTTTGCTATAAGTCTGTTCTTAGCTCCTATAGTTTTTCCTATTTAAATTGCCATTTCCTTAATTTGGACCTTGAGTGTTAGTCTAAAATCTAGTCGACGGCCTTCATATTTGACCGATTTCTGTGGGATTATAGTATTGCTACATACTCAAGTATACGCTGATTTTGTTGGTTAATATGTTTGAATATGATTTATAACTTATAAAATTCTATAGAATTATTAACTATGTTGCCACAAAAATATCTACCATCTCAAGAAGAGAATCTAGAGCTAGTTTTAAATGATCCAAGCGCTGTTTACCAATTTTCCGAACAGTTCTCGTAAGCACGTTATATGTAATTTAGAAATATAAGTTTCAAGCTTTTATTACCAATCCTTTGAAAATTTATTTTTTATAAAATATTGCCTTCTTTAAACATGTGTATTCCCTTTGAGTTTATTATTCCTTTGAGTAGAAGCATTTTCATGCTTAGAACCATATTCCATTATGACCATAATTTAATATATATCATATTCTTCATATAGCATAAACAACGTTCACCTATTTTATTATTGGATTGTTCCAAACTACAGTTGGGACGTGGGCGCATTGTCTTCTTTAAACATGTGTATTGCCTTTGACTAGAATCATTTCCCTTCTTTAAACAATGTTCTGTTATAAACCTAAATTAATATATCTCATATTCTTCATATAGTATAAACAACGTCCACCTATTATATTATTGGATTGTTCCAAACTACAGTTGGGACGTGGGCGCATTGATGACACAGTTTCTTCGTTTCGTCGTCGTTTGGAACTTTTCCGTGAACTAACATTACCGATGCTCAAGGCAATGGATAATAGTCACCGATTACAAATTGTAAATATATATAACAATTATTTATATAAAACTATTCTATTAACTATTTAAAATATATAAAAATCTAATAAAGGTTGATGGCGATACAGATAGTCCATCTGTACAACGTGAATTCGAAAGAATTATACGAGGGCACATACAAATTTACCAGCATGTAGGTACGAAAGCAAATATGCCGAATCAAGGAATAAATACATATCAGAGTGGCCTCGTCAATAATAGCATAAGAGGTGGGCAGAATCATACAAATGCCGAACAAACTGAAACTATATTGCAGGATTTAGAAAATAATGTGCCTGGAGCAGTGCCAACAATAAGCCATCATGTTAGTCTCATGAATGGGCATCTACGCAACAGTAGTGCTACAAATAATTTTAATAATAAAAAATCAAACTCTCATGCAACAACTATGAATGGCGACGTACGTGCGCGTACCGGTCAAGCTATGGACTTTCGACATATGCTAGAAGAGGCAGAACGCTATCCGGTGGATTCGTATATGTGAGAGGGTCGATAATAGTAACTATATTAAAAACAATAACAAAAATACAAATAATATAGAAGAATATGGTAACCTATTAAGAAGAAGGTAGTAAGTATTAGTTACCTTAAAATAATTAAGAGTCTATTATATAGTAAACTTAGTCTAATAGGGCAGTAGCATATTTTATAGAAGCTTATTAAGAAAATTCTACATTATTTTTAAGTATAACGTTTAAGATTTCAGTGGGCATTTATTTTATATAATAATTCCCAAGAACTCTGATATTCTAAGTTATTTCAACTATGGTATAATCAAATTCTATAGTTCATATTAGTGGTGCCGTTACATATAATTGAATGCCTTTTCAGCCGCAAATGCGATAAAGTTTTGCTGTCTTCGATTTTAGTAAACATTTACTATATCTGTAAGAATTAGTCGTCAGTAATTGAATTCTAGTGAGCAAGAAGTTAATGAAAGCATGTCCTGTTAACAATCCATTCACTTATTACGGGTTAGAAAGATTTATTCTGACAAGTTCTCTGTATTTCTATTATTATAGATGCTATAAAAGATATAATTCTTACCTGTTTTATTAGTACCCAATCGTTCACGATCTGTAACATACAACAAAGCTTAATTTATTTCAAGTAATGAACTTGGATTTCTGATATATCCACTTCTGGAAGAATTCAAAGGCGTTAACCCAAAAATGATGAATTTTCATTATTGCTTGTCTATATGAATTAATGTTGAGATACAAAATTAAAAATGCCTAACAACTAATATATGTATAAGCATAAATTGATATAGTAAACGTTTCTAATTCAATTTTGGTATATAATTTTATCGCATGAATAAAATATTCAAAATTGAATGATTAAACAAAATTTTTTTTATTTCTAAACTAACAGCTGTATTTATTTATTAATTATTATTTAATAATAAAAAAATTTTTAAGAAATTCCATATGTCACATATTATAATATTGGGGTCTTCACGTTTTCTTATTGAGTTTAAATATTTTAATGAATTATATATTCTATAAATTTGTATATAATGTCCTACCATCCTTTGGCAGTAACACGGCCTCACATAACTCCAAACTGCTACTGACAGGTATTTCTGAAAGTCTTCTAAATAAAAGTTTTATCGTTATAAAAATTAAGTATAGACCCAAATAAGTGATTATTTGAAGATGCTAAGGATCCAGCATGTGGTCTCACAATATCTTGGTGTAAAGCTATATTAATTTTTATTAACAAAACTTTTATTGGACGTTCCTGTTTAATTTAATAATTTAGTTTCCTCAGCAATATTTTACCAGAAGTTGATAGAAGAAACACACAAAGAGTTTCACCAAAGAGAAAGCGGCACTATTTTTCATGAGTAATGGTTCTTGAGATGCTTTGAGTCGAATCAATTTTTTTTTTACTCTGTAATCTCTTGCGATGTTTACGCCAATATTTATGTTATCATTTCTCGAAAATAGTTTATTTTTTTGAGGTTTAAAATATAAATTATAGCCAGATACACGGCCGAGCAATTTTATCTCGGTGAACGCGTGAACCCCAGTTTTCAAAATAAACTAAGGCGTTTTGAATGATCTTCAACTATCAAAATCGAGATTCTCATTCGGCGAATTGCATCAAGCAATGCTTAATAAAAAAAAATATGACTCTATTTTTATTATAATATCGTCAAAAAGTCACAATAACTGAAACAATAGCTTATATGTAAAATACATAAATAAGTATATAATTTCCAAGGAAATTTTAATAAATTTGATTTTAATTACAATAAATATAAAATTAATTAATTCAATTATTTTTAAATTCTATAACATTAAAAATAATAGACTTTATTTATTTTATTTTAATTAAAAATTGTATAAAAAATATGTAATAAATTTAAATATACAAAATAAGATAAGAAAATATATTATCATGATATTAAATAAAAAACAAAATTCTTTTAAATTTTATTTAAATATTATTAATTTATACATAAATTAAGACGTCTTGATTAAACAATTAAGACTACTTTAAAATAATATTAAAGTATATTATTATAATAATATTAACATATATTATTACTTTAGAGGTATTAGATAAAAAAGTTGAATAGCTGGACTATGATTATTGAAATATTAAAATTATAAAATACAAATAAATAAATTATTTACAAATAAATATATTGAATAATAAAATACATATTAATGTATTTATATATATAAATATATATACATATATACATGTATACATGATACAATTATATATTCTAAATAAAAATATGATCATATTATATGATATTTCATCTACATTATACTAAGAATATTAACAAATACATATTTTAAATAAATAATTAGATACTATTAAGCTCAGATATTAAATAAAATAAAACATTATTATTTATATTTATTAGTTGTAAGTAACAGTAAAAGAAAATATAGATGGCCTTATTAGTCATCTATTATAGGCAAATGCTGTTTTCAAAATGGTTTAAGCTTTACAATATTAGATATATATATACATGTATTTATATTAAATAAAAATAACGAATGTTAGAAACATTTGAAAGATCATTGGTAAATATTAACATTACTTACCATTTCGGTATTCAATATATTATTAAAAGTAAAAAGTAAAGGTAGGTAGATATACATATATATAAACATATTCATATATACGTATTTATATATGTATGTAAAAAAAATTTTAAAAATATATATCTACACACTAAGTATATTTTGAAGAACATGAGTATAAAACAAAACCTTAACTACATTAAAATGAAAATTATATTGATATAATTATTATATATAAATTAAATAAAAAACTTTATTTTTTAAGGCGTTTATATAATTTAAGTAATTCACTGTTACACATGGAAACAAATGTTTAATAAAAAATATATATTATGAAAATCGCTTTTATTTTTTAGTTGAAAGATATGAATAAACCAATCATTGAAGCTGAAAAGAGTTTCAGATACACGATTACTCGTACTTCAAACAAACCAATTTAATTCCTCCTAAGATGACTTGATTTATGTTCCTTTATAAAAGGACAGTTACATATATATACATAAATGAAATAGTCACAGAAGGGAAAGTTAACCAATCACAAACGCGCAGATAATGAATCTTCCAACATCGCTTCGTTTTCTTCTACTCACCAGGAACAGCTCAAGCACAAATTTCAAAATTCATTGAAGCATTTTCTGAAAATGGAACGATTATGTATTCTTTCAGAACAACAGAACATTAAGTTTGAAAGTCGGAGTTCTTAATTATTCCCACCGTGTCAGTAATTAAGGCAAAAAGTAAGAACCCTTTCTTTTTTTCAATAATGAATTTTACCAAAAACAAAAGACACTATTATATACATTTGAGCATTATTGAAATAACTAAAGAAAATCATTAAAACAGAGTTCTGGAAGATGAGGTTACACATTTTTCTACTTCGTCTTCATTACAACCTTACCAGCACCGATCTGGAATATTTAATCATAAGAAAAATCGTATTTACTTGTGAATTAATTATTACTTCATGATATATTAAAAAATTAGGAGTGGCTTATTTAAAAATCACGTGTTCCTACGTGCAAAGCTCACAGAACTGTCATTGCGCTTGTAACCTGTAGTCAAGGCTTTGCTCCCTTCTTTAACTGTTTTTCTGGAAATGCTAGATGAGTCTAAACTTAAAAAAATTACAGTCTCCAAGTGCCACTCGTACATATACGGCAAATCCACCTGCTTCGGCAGTACGTACAGTGGATTTGGTATAAACTCACATTTAAACAGAATCTGTTAATTGCGTACAACTATAATCACGTCGCCCAATGTTCCTCTGGAAACTAGTTCTATTACAACATATATATTATAAATAAGTCTTTAAAGAATACCGATAATATTGTCATATTATTAACATCAAGTACAGAGACATCTGGATTTGAGATCAAATGTGCATGTAATTCTAATTTTATTTTGAAAATATATCACGTGAAAATTTTTAATAAGGTCTATAAAAAAATGTGTAAATAACATACAAAAGCGGTTGTATCACAAAAGATATAGATACTTATTTTTACTATATCTACTTGAATATAATCCTATTCCAAAGAAATTAATCAAGGAATTTTATTTTGCTTTTGTATGCGACAATTAAATAATAATTAAAACTAAGTACAATATGAGTTTCGACATTCTATATAACATAGCATATTAGAATATATGTGGATATACTGAAAATTTTTTGAACGATATGAGGAACGAAGTTTGAGTTAAGATATAATGAGAATTACAAGTTTTACACTTTCTTAGTTATATAAAAACTGGTGTTTAATATCAATCAAGTGCTATTCATTGAACTTAAAATAAATACCAAAGCTATATAAGGTATGAATCTGATTTATTTATTGCGTCTAACACATTTTAATACCACTTGTATGTATATATGATTTCATCATTTATTATGACACAAGATGTTTCTTTAAATTCAATTCATTAACAAATTGGTAAAATATATAGATATCGGAAAGTTAATAACATTCAAGATTTTATTTGTCAATATACTACCTAAACATATATACATATATATCCCATTGGTTATGTCCCACTCAATGGAATAAGTATACAACTAATTTATAACTAAGACCAAACAATATACCGATTTTGATAACACTATGTAAAGATTGTAAGGTCTTGCCACATAAAGGTTTTCTTGTTTATTTGCAAATAACCAGCACAATGTAGTTATTTATGCTTTAGAGTTGGAAATTTATATATATTAACGGACCTATTCTGTGCACTTGACATATTTGTCAAATTCTTTAATAAAATTTTTGATTTTTATAAAGCAGAAAGCTTTTTGATATTCTGGACACATCTTGACAAATTTCAAAGCTCAAGTACCTAGTGCTTCTTACCACACTATGGTATAAAGTGTTTTGTATAGAAAACTGTTCGTAATTGTTCGTAATTGTTCGTAATAAATGCTTGTAAAGAGCACATATTTTAAGTTGCCAAAAGCATTTTTCATGTATTCAAATAACAATAAAAAATATGCTTGTAAAGAGCGTATATTTTAGTTAAGAATATTTGTCATGCATGCAAAAAATAAAAAATGCTTAAAAAGAGCAT